TTTTATTACACACTTCCATGTGATGAAGAGCAGACGGGGTAAACCCCATAGTCATGAGGACCTGCTGTTCTGTGATGGAAACCGGTAACCTAAGCCCCGGGACTTGGAGTGGTGAATCACATAAGGCCCCACTAGGTTAGGCGTGGTATTGATAAAAAATGTCTTTTTACTTCCTTTTTCATTTATTGAATATACAGTACAGTCAATGTACAGTCAACTTCCACGAAGGGGGCTGCGGCCACATAAAGGCTGGCAGGGGAACACAGAAACAGGGAAGATAGGCGGCGGTGGAGCGGTTTGAACCCGGGACTTCTGGGTCACAGTTTGGTGACCCAACCACTTGGCCACCGCCGGACGACAGCAAAGCTGCCTACCACCATAGTTGGGTGGCGGTTTTGGGGCTCAAACCTCGAACCATTGGGTTTAAAGCACGCCGGTGACAGCGACTAAACCACCGCCACCACCACCAATGTGATACTAAGGGATCTGCGATTTCGTACCGAGTTACAACAAACGCCACTGACTTCGATTCGGTCATCATAAATCAAATGGCCCGAGCAATGAAGTGTGTATGCTGTTGTACACGGTAGGCAGTAGTAGATATGAATCAGAAGCATTACCGACTTCCTCCATGCCTCAGAACCTTGAAAATATCTCCCCTTGACCATGGATTGAATTTCTATAGCATGGGTTAGGTAATAAGGTGGGCTCTTCTCCTCTGCTTTAACTGGGTGTCTGGGTACTTCTACATCAGCGCAGGCGGTATCATGAGTGCCATAAACTCGTTTTCAGTACCGACTTCATCACATCAGTTTTGTTAACCTAGATAAGTGCATATCTGATTCAAGCGGTGCATTTGTATTCCGATATTAATAACTTTTTTATGCAACTATAAAGCTTTCTGTGTACGGCAAAGTCATTTCAGAATAAGCGCATTTTAGACTTTTATAACTCCTTGGGGAAACAAATATCATTCGAAACTCAGTTTCGTGAATAATTTGTTCTCAGTGACTCATTACCTGGCTAGCAGATTGCATTTTATATGGCATCGTTATGTATAGAAGGAAAAACCTAACGAGTGAATAGCCGTATAAATTTGTCTTTACTGTCGCTCTCGGTTCCACCGGATGTGGTTGTTTTTTCGCTCAGATGTTTTCGGTTCATGTTTCTCCTGTCGTTAGGGGTAAGGGGGTGAGTGCATTTTCGAGGAAGCGGGGGGGGGGGGGCANATGAAAGACTGATTAAGTTCTCAAGCCGTTTTTGGTCGCACATGGGCAGGAGAGATATAGGCAAATTCCAACCTCGCAATATTTCAGTGAACAGTTCAGCTGACCTTGTGCTATTCAGATTACCTCGCCTTCAAGTGAAGCTTCATGGGCCGTGTCGTACGATTCTGCGGCAGCCTCAGAATTTCGGTTTTGCATTCAAGCTCTAAAGCGGGGAAAGCCAACAACCGGACGGGCTCCCCCCACTCTTTTCAAGATGGGTATGGGGGTCGGTGGGTTGGATGATATCATGGTAAGTTCCATTAATACCTTAGTGCTCAACATTTAGACGCAAGGGCGTGTTCTTTCGTCTTGAGGCAAGTCGCTGATCGTTGCCATTTTTAAGAAAGAATCTCGCAACGATTGCGTAAAGCACCGGGGGATAAGCTTGATCTCAATTGTCACCAGAGTGCTAGCCGTTGCCATGCTTCGACGTCTGTCTCATTTTAGAGAGACCAGCATTAGCGAATAGCAAGCTGGATTCCGGCCTAATTGGGGCTGTTGATTGAATTCAACGGTACGTCACGTCCTTGCGCTGCGTCATACTCACCGTTGACCAACGATTGCAGTGTTCTTTGGGCTGAAAGGAGCATTCGAATCAATTAACCGAGAAGCTTTGATGGATTCTCTTCGAGAAGGAATGCCCCAGAAATAAGTTACCTACTGAGGTCATTGCACTCACATACCTCTGAACGGGTGAGGGTTTATAAGAAATTAAGTAGGTCGTTCGTTACCGGTAGCGGCGTTCGTCAAGGGTGCCCTATTTCGCCACTCCTGTTTAATTTTGTTCTAGACAAAATTCTGCAGAACGCACTATATAGTCCAAAACGCAGGTATTGAATGGACAGCCGGAGGAAAGCTGCATGCTTTTGAGTACGCCGATGACATCGTCTGTCTTTTCGAATGTTTGGAGGACGCACAAAGCTCATTTGATAGACTAACTGGCCAAGAGTTAGTTATAGTAAATTACTTTTCCTACTTAGGTAGTTATGTGACTAATGACGGTTGCGCAGCGAACGAGCTAACGGCCCACATGCAACCTTTTACGAATCAAGCAAACGAAAGCAGAATGAAGAAGACTCGGAATGGGAATTATACACTTTACTCAACTAATAAATCTGGTACATGAGCTGTAATAGAAAGAGGTTTATGTATTACGCAATAGAAAAGGGTCTATAAACAACAGAACCAGAATATGACACCACAGTTCCAAGGCTCGAGCAGCGTACGCAGGACTGGAACACTTTTGGCCTAGACGCGAGGTTTTATTGAAGTTGGAAGATTGTGTGTATTGTTCTATCGTTTGTTTACTTAGGCTTTATGGTTGCGAGACCTTGATTTTGTGAGTAGAACATATCGATATTTACGTAATGTAGCCCTCGTGAGATGGAGCAAACAGGTTAGTAACGTGGAAGTAAACCGTCGTGTGTTTTGGAGTTTACCCGGGAAAGACTTTCTAGTCCATCGATTTCATGTTAGGCCTCGGTGGCTAGGACCTGTATTGTGCGTGCCCAGCTGTCGTCTGCCGTACCGTGCTTTATTTGCTGTAGTCGCTTCGGGCTGGAGAAAATCCCCGTGGGAGTCAACAGGTAACGTGGAGACGAGACGAAGAAACGCATCGAGATATTAGGTAGAGTTTCTCTCCTTCCACGTTGGATTTTGAAAGGCTGCGACTGGTTCGTTTGAGACATTGAAGGATATGGCAGCGAACCGATATAACTGGCGTTCTTGTCATTTCTTATCAAGTCAGAATGCCAGAAGTGTTGTGTATGCGCATTTTGACTGTGCACTGTGTTGATCACAAAGGTTTACCTCCTTCCCACTCTCTCACAATAGGTCCAATCCCTGTGCACCATAGATGTTACCACTAACTTTTATGCATTGTGAGTTTGGCAACAATCGACGAAGCTCATCTCACTGCATTTCGCTGTGCGATGACAATGATGACCTCGGCGGTGATTGGGATACGATTCTCAGTTGGCTTACAGCGGTAATCATGAGAGGACGAAGTGTTTCATCCACACTCAGCGTGATTGGATTCGATGATATGTGAAAGAATGACATTTGTAATGATGTTAGTTTCACCGATATTTAATCAGGTCGGATGGTGTTCTCAAACTGTTGCACCTAAGCGCTTGCTCGTGCGGCCGAAATATGTGCCTTACAGATCCCTTTTAACAGGTACACACAAAAGGAGACTACAGAATCAGGTACCTGGTCCTTGAGTTGCGAGCCCTCAGTCGGCCACAAGTTATGTTAGCCATGCAAAAATGTTTTCGGTTTACGGCTAATCAACTCCGTGATTGTAGCCCTTTTGAATGGAAGGAAGGTGGACACTGGATTCCGTTGTACAGCCTGCGTTCGCAACTCAAAGACAAGATCTTTACTTCTGCAATCTTATTTTGTGTTATCCAATTTGGTCAAGACTGCGGTGAGCGTGGTATCAAGGTTGGTGGATAGTTCTGGGGATCAATAATATTGAGGAATCGTAATTCCAAGGGAAATTATCAGTAATAGAAACATGTGGCGTGAATGTTGTAAAGGTATAGTGATGAAATTTTATTGGTCACACATTATTTAATCCACGTGAGGCAAAAAATATCAGGGTCCGATACTAACGGCAAAAATGAATATGTTATTCTACTACACCCTTGTAGTATTTCTTCTTTGCTTCCCTTTGTTTGTACCTCTTTTATCAACTATAAAAGTGCGTACTCAATTCTTCCTTGTCATTAGGTCATCCGTTTGAACACGCGTCCATGAATCAGCATGACAAAACCGACCATAGGCGACATCACTTCGGATACGTCGATCGAGCAAACGGCCAATCGTGACTCAATTTTCCTGACCGCGGGCACGGCTGTCAGTGCCAAATATCGTGGCGCATTTTGTGAGGCCACTGTGGATGAAGTCGATTTAAGTTTTCGTTTGAAAGTTCAGTTGCATAATGGCACCAAAGTAAGCCAATGCAATGACCGCACACGGTCAATTAAAACTTTTTTGTTTGTTTGCAATCGAGGTTTTCCAGGATCATGATTCAATGCTTTCGCACACAATGACTGAGCCATCATCAATCGCCTTTTTTGCATCCTGTGCTCTGGCATAGTAGATTTAACCTGGTTAATGTGAATGACATTTATTCTTTGATAAACGCATATCGTATAGCTAACTGATGTACAAAACAATAAAACAATGCTCTCATCTAAGTGAGGTACCATTACGATTGAAGTATACTTCCAGCATAGACTACTAATGTATGGTGAGTGCATCTTTAATTGCTGAATACATGATACGTCACAATCAATGTTGTGGTTAGGCGCAGAGTTTTAGGTAACCGCGGATTTCCATTGTCGACCTCTGTAGATTATGTCGGTTGGGGTGGGTGGGTGGAAAAAGCCAAGGGTGGTCAAAAATCAAACCTGGCACGAGGGTATGAAAACCCTAACCAGGAAACTTGGTTACGTAGGTCGCGTTAGACTCCCTGGATGATGACTTCGGGATCATTGTAATCAATGGTTAGAGACAGTAATGTGTTTGAGTGTGCCACCTCAGTTTCTTTACATCCTCAGTCCACTGAAATTCTCTATTTTAATTCAGATGGGTAGCCGAAAGAAAGCAACCAAAACCGGTGCACGAAATTGCATAGGTGATGGTTGTAAAAACGGAAACGGACACGTCCCATTGAGAGACTTATAGTGCCTTGACATGGAAGTATATATAAATATTTCGTAATAAATAGTATATTAATGACTGGACTAAATTCCTCTGAAAGCACAGGACCGATTTTTACTTGTACACAGGAAGTCTATTTTCATCACAATAACTTTGTTTGCAACACCGGGTGAGTTTTGGATAGACAGCTCTTTCAGAGCCAGTCCACTGTAGAATCCATACTATGATTCGATGTTATGTAAGTGGGTTAGATGCCACTAATTGTAACAAACGTGACTTGAGCATTTTCATAGAATATTCCGTAACAAGCAGTATATGAAACGGCACAAGACAAAATTTCCCTGGAATCACACGACCCATTTCGCGGTTCTTGCCACTAGTCAGGCATGCATATCCGGTAACCTTTTGCCAGTTCATTCATATCCATCCATTCATTCATCGAGGCCGTTGTCCAGTTAATTGAACCATTCGCCCTTTGGACGGTGCCCAGTACACCCGGATGCCTCATTGAACCGGTGACCCTTTGCCATAACCAGGATGTTGTGGATGTGTGTGGTTCGTACGTCTCTTCTTGGTTGGTTTGGAATCAAGGTTATTAGCCAACTCCCCTAGGTGAACTGTCAGTTATAGCCTCGGATATTGGCTTTCCGTCTTCTCACTTTGGTAGGAAAACACCGCCACGAGAAGGCAGTGGATAGGGCTTTCTCAGCAGAGACTGTTTGAGACGCGAGACGTAATGGAAGGGTAATCACCTACAACACGGGACATCCATCACCATCGATAGTTGGGCTTCCGTAGGTGTAAGTTTTTTTCCTTTTGACACTGTCATCTACAGTGTCCATCTGCAATGTCTTCGTTGAGTGTGTGAGAGAGAGAAAAACAGGCGAGTTACTACGCGAATGGGTTCAGTTGGAGAGAGTCTCCTTGAAAAATTCCAATATTTCTTCTCCCTTCGTCCAAATGGGGGAACCACATGACAACAACCAAAACTGCCTAACAAAAGCATGGTTATCGGTTGCTCAAGCGGAAACTGAGAACAACAGGATTCTCATGAATCAGCGGATTGTCTNGGATTGTCTGTGAACAGTCGTGGATCTTGACCAATTCTTGATCATGCTGTCTAATTTGCATTGCACGAATCTGGTGGAGAAACCGGACGAGCAATGCTGAGGATAGGTGCAGAGCTTTAGCTAATCACGGTCGTCCATTGAAACAAGTGGTCGACCTCCGTAGATTACGCTGGTTGGGACGTGTGCTGCGCATGTCACCAAATATATTGCCACGGCGAGTGCTGTCTGCCGAGGCTGGCAGTCGATGGAAAAAGGTTAAGGACGATCAACCGAAGACCTAGCACGAGGGTACGGTAACCCTAACTAGGAAACTGGGTCGCATAGGTCCCGTTAGGCTCCCTGAACGGGGACCATGAGATCATGGTGATCGATGGTTAGAGTCACTGAGCGATATGGCTTGGTTTCGCTAACAGTGGCGTTCATGCATTTGTTTATTTATTACACACTTTAGTGTGATGAACAACAGACGGGTAAACCCCATACTCACGGGGACCTGCTGTTCATTCATGGAAACCGGTTGCCTAATCCCCAGGACTTGGAGTGGTGAACTACGTAAGGCCCCTCTAAGTCATGCGTGGTATTGAACCGGACGACAGCAAAGCTGCCTAACACCAAATCATTGTTGCATTATTGTTGCAACCTCAGTCGATATGAATTCACTATCTTCCGCTGGAATTTGCTCTCAACATTCTCATCCACATTCTACTCTGTCATCCGAATGAGCGGCCAAAAGACATCAACCAAAACTGGCACACGAAAGTGCATAGTTAACGATTGTGAAAACGGAACTGCACTGTTGTCTTTTTGCATGATTAATCACCTTTCGGAGTGTGCACAGCGGGGTGTAGCTCATTCATGTTTCCGTTTCAGCATGACCATATTCATATTGCATTTTGGTTGATATTGGTAATATCTATCGTCCTAATAACACGAGATTCATGGATGGAACGGAACTCACTGAAAAACTTGGGCGTCCTAAATTTTTTTATTGATTATATTCTTTTTTATTGATTTTACTTCCCTAGGATGTGGTTTCTGTTGATCAGAACAACTTGGTTTCCGGTACACCATTACCGAATAACGAAGTCACAGTGCGTGTTCCCTCATCCGATGTACGAGCAACCAATGCGACTGGTTTCGTGGAACGCCTGGGTACCGTTCTCCGGACAACGGACACTAGCCTGTATACTGTGGGTATGTGTATAAAATTTCTCGCGAGTATGTGACTTAACGAGGACAGTCATATCTAGTTTTAAAGCACACACACATGCATGTAATACACACACACAGATAGCATCAAGAAACTCCGTTATCCGATGATGCTTTGGGACAATACTTTCCAACTAAGGTGTCAATGGGAAAAACTTTGATCACAAAGCACTGCGAATTGTCTTAATGCTAGCTAGTATCCCATTACTGAAAGCGTTTGTTATCGTCTGTTAGTGCAGCTGGATGGTCTTAATGCTAGTCAATTTTTTTATGTATGACAGAAATGGAGGATTTGATTCGATTAGGTGATGAATTCGTCGTGTAAATGAGACGTGAGATGAAAGGCTAAGAAGCACTGGACAGCTGTTTCGACCGGGTTGGGTTTCATTAACAGTGAGCTAATCTATCAACCCAACTGGGGATTGAATCCGAGACCTCACAGTTAGAACGCAAGCATACTAACCACTCGGCCGCCAGTGGGCAGCTGATCAGACCGTTTTTCATTTTCGGGTTGTGAAGGTTTTCAACCAAGTCATAACCATCCCGAAGGCTGAGATGAGAGTGAGGCCCCGATGTCCGCAACAAGATTGCGCTGACCCAGTTCCTGATCTCACTTATCCGAAGGGTGGTGGCAAACGAGTTAGACACATTTAACAATCTCTCTCCTGTCGGGCAACTATTGTATCAAGTATCGGTATGCATAGAGAAGTCGCGGTTGACTCTTATTAACTTGTGGCAAAATTTAGCGCTGCTCAAATATTCAGTTATCCGTGAATGGCCAAATTTGTACCGTAGCTGTCTATCCGATTCTGCTGTTCCGTGAGGGATCGAGTGTATGTTGTGGCAGTTTGACCAGTTTTGCTGTACAACACAGAAGTCCGGCCATTAAGAAAACAATGAAGCTAGACTGTAATTGCTGGAACACCGCTGTCTGCGCAGCATTGCAAGTAACTTCAGGTAATCGCGGTCGACTTCGTTTATTACACACCTTGGTGTGATGAGCAGTAGACAAGGAAAACACTATAGTCACGAGGTTCTGGAAACCGGTGACCCTAGCCCCGGGACTTGGAGTAGCCCGGATAGGTTAGGTGTGGTAGTGGACTGCACGGTAGCAAAGCTGCCTACCACCAACGTTGGGTAGTGGTGGCGGTTGCGGGGCTCGAACCTCAGACCCTAGGGTCCGACGCACGCCGGTGACAGTGACTAAACTACTGCTCCATCGCAATTGGTCGACGTCCATAGATTACACTGGTTGGGACATGTGCTACTGCGTATGATGTTTGCCGAGGAAGGTAGTAGATGGAAAAAAGCCAAGGATGGTCGAAATAAGACATGGTATCAGGGGGTATGAAAACCCTAACCAGGAAACTTGGTCATATAGTTCGCGTTAGACTCCCTGGATGGGGATCTTGAGATCGTAATAACCAATGGTTAGGGACAATGAATGGTATGACTGAGTGTGATAAATAGTGGTACTCGTGCATCATTTCAGTTTCTTGCAACTTTTCATTTTCCATTTTCTCTTCAACTCTACTTTAAACTTCCCTGTCTTTCTCCTTTTGATTCATCCGAATGGATATTTAAACGACAGCAATCAAAGGTGCATGTGTGATGGTTGTACAAACTGAACTGAACTGAGATAAATGGAGGTTTGTAGTGTCCAAACAGCGTTTGCACTCCGCATTGCGCGGATGGGGTAGGCTAAATCAACGTCCAATTTCACGATTCCGCGACGTGTTTGCTTGACCACCATTACGGTGACTGGGACATGTGCTGCGCATGTCATCATATAAGATTCCTTTGCGTGCGTTGCTTGTTGAGGCAGATAGTGATTGAACCTGGGCTAAGGATGATTTGACCGTGGCGTGGCATGAGGGGGTTAAAATTTTTAACCAGAGGGCTTTATCAAGTAAGTGGCATCAGTTTTTTGGATTGGAACCTCGTGACTAACCTTATCCAATCAGTGACTTTGGGTGATTTGGCCGAATATCGTAATCAGTATCACTCGTGTATCTACTCCCTTTCAACACGTTTTCCATTGATCCCTTCGTGGATGGATCAGATGGGTAGGTGGACAACAACAAAAATAACAATCGAAACCGGCATACTAAAGTCCAGTCCTAATGACTGTACCATGTGAAACGAACTGAACATGTGTACAGTCCGTCTGAGATCCATTCCTTACCGAAAATTATCATCCAGCCTCGGATTCAAAACTGAACATTGAGTCAAGCGCTCAGACCATTTAACCTTACGGACTTTGTCTTCTTTCGGCTACCGATTTCCGGGAAGATATGTGAACTGTTTTTTTCTCTTTCTGTTCTACTCATTACCCTGACACCATTTAGTGCCATTTCTGTCCATTGTTGGTCTTACGTTTAGGTGATTTGTTCTAGTGTAGAGAGAGAGAATCTTCCAAGGCAGTCGGTCATCTTACGTGCAGACCGGTGAACATCGGATCGGTTTTCTGCTTAGATTTACATCATTTACGTCGGCAGAATTCTGTGGTTCTGTCAAAGATTGACAAAAATTACGTTCGCTAAGTGCATACGTCAATAGTTGGCTCAGTTTTTTTCTTTGGAAAGTTACTTTTTTTACTTATCTTCCCCCCGCCCATGTTTTATACTTGAATTCGCACAGTTTTTGATGACGGAGACAAGCGAACCTTGAGACGCACTCAATTGGTGATCAAAGGCGAGCGACACTTCAAAGAGAGTGAGGCAAGTACAGATCTCCTTTGTTTGGTTGTTCGCAATGCGTTAACCATTCACTCTGTTCTTCTCACCTCATTTTCTTGCTTTATTTTTACTTTTTTTCACGAATCTAGAGCCTTGATTGTCTACCGTTGACTAATCCGGAACAATTCCGACAACCGGTGATCGATCGGAGAAAACATCGATCGGGGTAAGCCATTGTTGTATTGATTGATCCATCTTGGTGATCCCAAAGTGACTGCTCTCTTCGTGAGATACGGTTGTCATCACAAGCAGTTTTGATGCCTTTGGGTGTTCTTTTCGATTAGACTGTCACTTCGACTAACCTTAATCGTTAGGTAATTGATTTCAATTATTTTGTTTTTCGAATACACGAGTTTGATAGAATATTCCATCAGCACATGGATTCGAAATCGATTAATTCCAGCTCCCTTAGGCGTCAGACTGCACGCCACTCTCACTCGGTACAGTCTCGCCTCAGGCGTCAAATGTGGTCCAGGTAGGCCATCCCCGCATCTCTAACCCGCTATTTGAAATCAGCTTTATTCTCCTCCAAGTTTTCAATCTGGTCCATCGCTTCCAATTTTAGCACGTTTTTGTTGTTGTAACTGTTGTTCGCTGCAGTCGATGCAAGTCCATTTTTACTGTCTGTGGAGACTGTGTCTGGTGACTTGGTGTTTTAAACGACAACCGATATACTTTCGTCTGCCTAATGACGATCAGTTCTACTTTACGATTGTAAGACCTTTAGTTTGCAGGTAGAAGATATCCGTCGCCTAGTGGTTTTAGCAAACGATGCTTACTAAGCCTGGCCCAAGTGGGATAGTGTGATCGGGTTAGTAACTTATAAGTGAGTCGTCGGGTGTTTGGGAATGCATCGAACAAGAACTCGCTATCGCATCGAATTCAGCTCAACAGGCTCCGTTGGTTAGGACATGTTTTGCGTAGGTCCGATGGTCGCTTACCGCAGCGTGCCTTATTTGCAGCAGCTGTTGCAGACTGGAGAAAGCCACATGGAGGCCAGCTGATGACCTGAAACGTGGATACGAAGCGTGAAAAAATGCGCAGAGTGATTAGGTAGAGTAGGTGTCTCTCGTCTTCTGGATTGGGGTTCAAAAGACTCCGAAACCGCATGGTTGGAGACACTGAAGGTCATGGCTGCGAACCGACAGCAATGGCGATCTTGCTGTCACTTCTTATCAGATCAGAATGCTTCAAATTGTATTTATGCATAGCTGGACTGTATACTCTGTTTGTTGACCAGAGGTTCGTTTTCTTTTCCCGTCCCTAGAATTAAGTTCAATCCCTATCCTACTTACACATTCTCACTTACCTTGTATACATTACGAGTTTGGCAGCGATCAGTGAAGTTCGCCTCACTGTATTACGCTGTACAATGATGACGATGATGATGATGATGAGATTAAGTGTTGATATCTTATGGTTTTTGGATATCCTCGTATTGGGACAACTGACAGAAAGCGACAAACGAGGAACTGTCTAATCTCCATTCGACACTCTATCCAGTTTTTTTTTTTTNATATCTAATATTGTGCCCAATAAGCAGTCTCCAACTCGTATCCTCCTATCAATTTTGTCGTCTATCCTGATACAAATAATCAAATCGGATATATTTTTTGCACCAATGTCCCCTCATGTGAGTGACGTGTCGAACTAATAGTGAAGCGTGACGGCGAATTTGTTTCCCCCCCGCCATTCATCGGGTGACTTCAGCGACTGAAAATCAGCCACAATCACTCACGTACGGCGCACATAGAATTTCGGAACAGGAGTGGCACCTCAGGCAGTGGGTTCTATCGTGTCTTGATCTAACGCTCCACTCTTACCTGTTAACTCTGCCCAGCAGTTCACGCATGACAACAATCATAGTCTGACGAGCCGTGCGACAAGCGGGTCTAATCGGCTGATGAGAGCTGAGTATTAACACCTGAATCTCAGCCGGATCACATGCGAAGGTTATTAGCTGATGCCTCAACACACGAACGGTCATGCGTCATCAGATTATACGTGAAGTACAGCAGAAGAATCAACAACACACCGGATCTTAGAGCTGGGTAGTCTGAACGTTTATCAATAAAATATCCACAACGAACTCGGTCCAATGTCGATGAGGACTTGCGGAACTGGATTCAACACCGACGCGTCTCATCCACGTGATGCACAGTCACTCGTCCATTTTATGTAATTAAGTGTAGAACTAGAAAAAAGCATTTGTTGTTGATGATAGTAGCTTGATGCGTGAGTTATGCTTCATGTTATCATCGGATAGATATTCCGTTACAACAAGTGGCCTCTGCTTGGGAAGCCATAGCCTCGCCTAAATGATATTAATTTTATGGGGGATTTTATCGTCTATTGTGCGAATTGGAAAGTTAGGGCTCACTGTGTAGCTGTTTCAACTTGATTGGGTCTGTTCAGTAGTGCGCGAATCCATCAACCCAACTATGAATCGAACCTGAGAGCTCACGGATAGAGCGCAAGCATCCTATCCACTCGACTACCGAGTAGCTGATATGGACTTTCCCCACTGCAACTGCGACCGGTATTATTATAATTACTGCTTTAACTATCCTTATTATTGCCGGATTGCATTGCTTTCATGTGTGTCCCGTAAATTGATGCTTATCGTCTAAAACGCAGAAACGATCCAGTCGGTGTCATGTATGGCTACACAATAATCCTTCCTGATTTTATTGTTTCACCAACGTGAAAAACGTTTCTGGTTGATTAGGAACAGCACCATTCTGTCTTGGATGAGCAATAATGGTCTGTTGTTTGTGACGCTGACATTCGTTATCGATGTGCAATGTCATGTTTTAACCAACACATGTTTTGTACAATTTAACTTGTTTCGCGAATGACGCAATCTTCACGGCAGACACCTAACTCTAGCTTTCATCATTTGGTATCATTGGGTATCTGAAAATCAAATTTCAATTTTTGTGCCCCTTGCAAAGGAATGAGGATACGGATGATGAGACAGCTGACAATGCTTCCAACGGCGATGGGACATACCCCGCGGACGAACCTCATTCACACGTGACCGGTGACTCGACAATAGTCAGTCGGACCGTCAGCTCCGTTCCAGATAGCTCGATTGCCGTACAATTGAACGAGTGCGATCAGTTCAGTGACGTGTCTGATGACAAACCAACCGAGGCTAGCACATTGACAGCCTCGGTCACAAAAAACACTACGAGTGTGAACACAAGTACGGTCGCAAACCTCACGACAGATGGAAAGGTATCCGGTGCCGGTACTGGTGTGGAATCTACGATTCAGGCTAAAACACCGTCCACTTCCGTTCATGAACAGGAGCGGGGAGCTCGCATCGAACTGGCTCAACAGGCTGCTTATGCCCGCCTCTTGGGACGTTTGGTTTTGGTTAACATGCCAATCCATACCAAGGGTAAGTTGGCTATTCTCTTGTTCTACGAGGCATTGCGGCTATCGTTGGGCATCGCAACTCGGAATATCAGTTGTCAGTTGATTTTCATTGAGTTGTGTGTTTCATCCGCTTTAACTTGAGGTGATAACCCCCCCCCCGCCAGGCGGCAGGCTGTCTGGTATAGAGTATGCAGACGACATTGTGCTACTGCGTGAAGATTCAGGTAAGTTGCGAGCTTTTTTTGGACAGCTTGAATGCCAGTTTAGCCATTTTCGGTCTGCGTTTTGCACCTTCAAAGTGTAAAATGTTGCTACCAGATTATATACATATATATATATATATATATATGTATATATGTATATATGTATATGCAGGTATAACAAATAATTTCTGAATGAATGTGCACCGATTAGATGATACGAATATGGTGAAGAGTGGTTGGGAAGTATACAAAATAAAAAATGAAAAGTTGTTCGTCAGTGGTTTGGAATTGGGAACAAACAAGAGCAGAGGAGGAAATAGGATGAGTGAAGACACACAGTTCCGGTTTAAGTCAAGCGGTCACGTTTGATTTGAGGTCCTGTGTCGGGTCTCTATCAGTGTAACTTAAGAGCTTTGAAAACTGCTTCTGCTCACATGACATTATTTGCTGTGATCATCAACAGTACCTAGTGCCTGTGGAAAACCGTATGGACTAATCCACCGAGTCTCCATTTAAATAATGCAGCCATTCGCACGAGGTGATAACGTCTACTGTGTAGCTCCGACGAGGGGGGTATTAACTCCCAACTCGAAGGCTCGCGGTTTGAGTCCTGACAGGGAAACAAAATGTGCGCACTGCTGACCAGTTCCAGGCAGGACGAAACACCGGTTCAGTGTTGTTTGTCGGCCATCACATTTAATTGCAATGACTCAATTCCTACCGCTTCTGCCATCGCAAATTATCGCTTTCGGAGAACTTTTGGCCGTTTTGGAAGCACCTTGTAATCGACTTCCCAATACGGTCTTCACTTTGTGGAATCATCTATGACAGTATTGGATATAACTTCCTTGTTGTTGTGATAGGGCAATGGTTGAATATGTGCGACAGGTGACTGACTCATTGTGATACTTGCCAATCTGTTTTGCCATTCACTCACACACCCTTGACTGTGCTATTGATTGAAACGCATCCTTTAAGAAAACGGCCTTATGATCCCTGGACCACCGCGCTGTACTATTAGCTCAAGATTGTTAATGGTTGAATGCTTACAACCCACTTTTCTCACGCCGAAAAATACCTTCACATCAAAGGTAATGACGTTTTACAAATCACAGCGTTCGTGGTTTACTTCCACTGTTTATCCACTGTTCACGTAATCGGTTTTTAAGGAGATCGAAAAGATATCAATAAGACGAGGCCTGCAGTCAACTCAGGCAAGTTGATGAGTCTTCTTTTCTTTGTTTCTTCCTTTCATATCCCACGGATGAGCTTAGATTGTTGACCGGTAAACCACGTCAATAAGTTACCTTTTTTCACCCATATTTGAGCCCATACTATGTGTGTGTGTGCTAAACAAATTACCGCACGGTAATCTTCACAACCAAAAACAAGGCCCGTGATTTTCTAGTGGGGGTGGGGGGGGGGCTGTCAGGTTTATCTGGTCAATGCAAGTGAATTCTCTTGAGAGGCCTTTTACCAACCAAAGCGTGATCCGCAAACCAGCGGAGTATTGTAAAAACTGTCATTCATTGATGGCCGGTGACCAATGCAGCGGATCATACGTCGTTTGTAAGAGGTCTGTTTCTCAAGCAGTTCTTACACGTGCAATGAAATTTCATTTGAAATGAAACATTTGTCTGACCGTTTCTCGTTGTTTTGCGACACAGTCCAATTGTTTTGCATTGTCAGTCTTTTCACTGGCTATTTCACTACTCGTTACAGATCACAGCACTCCGGGGTCATCCACCAACGCAGGCGATCCCTCAGCTCGACGCCGTTTCGGTCCTTGCCTGGTTGTACTGCCTAGTTCAATGCCTAGCATCGATTTGCGTTCTGGCTCTCGTTTACCACAGCTTTTGGTTCGTTCTTTCAAGGACAATCGATTTTTCAGTGCTCCGCTTTGTTACCTGAAGCGCTTGAAGCGCCCGGCTGCAGTCGAGATGGCTCATGCATATCCCTCCCTACGAACTGCATTCGAACGCGCATTACTCTGGCTAGACCGATATGAATTGCCCGTCAGTTGGGGCGAAAATGCTACACAAACACTTTTAGGTGCAAAAAATTGGCGTGCGGCAAAACGGGAGCAACGCGCCGCGTTGGCAAA